AAGAACTCAACACATGATAAGCCTTTGTTTAGCCTTGCTTGTACCCATGCTTTCTCTTATCTTCATCCGGATTCCAGAATTACAGTAAGGTCACTTCACCTCTAAGGAGTCTTACCACCAGTGAACTTGCCACCATGAAAGCCACCTTGCCACCATGTGAAGTTCCCTCGGCACCAAATTATTTTATTAACACTAAACCACAGCCCAAAGAGATTGAAATGTGTTCTACTTTGTTTAGCTGAATGTATAACTCACACAGCTCGTGTTGTGTTGAATTGTGTTGTGGGACAAATTTTAATGTGGGTTCCTCTTGTGTTCTTTTGTTTCTCTCAAGTCCTGACTAAATATTCAAAAATTCTCCTGCAACATCAAGGTTTGAAAACAAACATTGTTTGGTAAACATGATGTTGGATTTAATTGTTTGATAGTTTAGCTGAAGTCTTATGTCAAGAGATTTACGTCAAATACCAACAGCACAGCTAATTCTCCTTGACTACTCTAAGTTCACTAGTTTATGTCCTTGTTGCTGTTAGGAGGCAAGATGCCCTGATGGTGAAGTGACCAGACACAGGACTCCAGTGCACCAACTTTTAGACTAATGCACCTCCTACAGACAGAGTACATCAATGCTCAAAGATCTTTGCAATGTTGATCACTTACAGCTGTGATATTATAGTTTTTTTCCTGTCGGTAGCTACTTGTAAAACCATACTTGTCTCCTTTATTTTCAGGTGGCATTGGTCAAAAAATATCACACAAATGGTGATTTGTATACAACTTTCCAGTCACAAACATTAAGGTATTTACAATGTAAAACATGACTTTGCTTAAGGGTGCTATTCACCCTCAGAAGACTAGATTATTAGGAATGGCTGTGAAAACAATAAAACAATCAACAGAGACAATGAACCTAGTCCTTTTAAAAAAAGAAGCACATGAAACAGGGAGTGAATGAAATTACAGGTTCTGAAGTGGCACGTGACTAATCTGTAGTGTTAAGTTTATAAACTGTTACAAGACAACCTGCAGACTGCAATGAGAAGGAAGAGACTCTCTGGCTTGGCGCTAATGAGCATTGAAAAGCCAGTGGATTGTGATGCTGTCATTCAGAGATTTGCAGACCAAAAACCTCAAAGAATGTTTCTTGTTGATCCCATTTGTATTAAATTTTGTATTTATATTTGTATTCCCAGAGTAGATACCAATTAATATACTGTAATTTTAGTTTTATTTCCCAAATTGGTCTTGATTATTGTAAATACCTAAATGCAGCTCAAAA